AATTCAATAATTAAAAATATAATATAAATACAATTAATTTAATTAATTCTTACATTTTATGTACATAATTGTACATTTAAATTTATTTATTTTTAATTTTAGATAAAATAATATTAATTTTTTAATAAATACATTATATAATATATTGAATTGAGTGTATATCAATTACTGTACATAAAATTATGATAAAATTACAACCAAAGTGACAGTCAAAAGCCATGTGCGGATGGACTTCATGGTCTTAATTATTTTTATTTTTTATAAACATAAAAGGCTTTTTTTTTTTAATTTATAAACATAAAATTCGAATCATATGATTGTTATTCTATATTTCTGTTGTTTTTTTCTTTTTCCCTTTTTCCATGCACGAGTTGTAGGCATTTAGATTGCAATGAAGGATAGAAGGCTTGAAAACTCGTGGGGATTTTCTTTTAACAAATGGCCGGATGTCCAATATGGGCTTGAACAAGTTATTTTTGTTGCAGTGTAATTACTGTTATTGGGGTCTAACTTTCAGTACTTCTCATCTTCTTAACATACTAGCTGAACCACAGCCCGCTCTGCGGGGTCAAGTGGATGGCTTAATTAATTTGTATTAATAGTTTCTTTTTGAGCATTCAGTCTATCTAATGAGAAATTACCCAATAAAGCTCCTATTATCATCCAACTTAATCACAGCACCAAACTCTCTCACAAACTGCAAAGCAGAGAGAGATATGAATCTATACAAAACCAAGTTCAATTGAATTGAAATAACAACTTTAACATCAACAAAATAGAATTAAGAGTCATAACTTCAATTCATAGTAGCCAAGGATTTGTATCTATTTCTTTTGCTATGGCAGACATAAATAGGCATTATTAAAAGAACTAAAATAAATTTATCCTGGAAAAAGAAAGTGCTGCAGAGATGAAAATAAGTCACCATAGGAAACTCTTATTATAATGATGGTAGAACTTATCCAACAACCTATATGATTATTAAGACAACACTCATATCAGATTTGAAGGCACGATTCAACCATATATTCAATAACCATGTATTCAACCTATATGATTATTAATTAAGATAACTTATCTCCCTCTCAAACATTGACACACACACATATATATATAAAGTAGGTTGTTCAAGGATGGTGAATTTTTTCTTTCACAATGCTAATGTGTTCTTATCAAAGAAAAAAAAATAATTACAAAATCTCCCAAGCCAAATAGCCTCCAAATTAAAAGAAAAAACCATCCTCATAGGGCATGCCAACACCATTACCAGAGCAAAAAATCCAAGAACATAATATTTATAAGGTATTTCTAACTTGTATGTATTGTATTTATTGTATTATTTTA